TCCCCCCATTCAAATGCTTGCCTCAGGAAGTTCAAGGCTGCCAGGAAAATTTGCTATTTGGTCTAGCCAAGGTCTGATGGTAGGTCTCTGACCTCCCCTTTCTTAGAGAATTTACTAAAAAGTGCTTACAGTTGTGAATATGCATCTCTTACAATGCAGAAGTATTTTTTCTCAAGGACCCAAGAGCCATCCATCCCTGTGAGATACAATTGTCAGGAAGGAAAGGGCCTCTGACTCCCAGTCTCTGTGGAAGGATAGACTCCTAACTTCAATAACAGCCAACCAGCAGACACATTGACCAGCCCTTTGCACGTTTTCATTTCATGACTCTATTGAACCCCTACCATTCCCCCTTCCTCACCCTCCTTTTATTTTATTTTATTTTATTTTATTACACTCTCCTTTTAAAATGCCCAAATCTCTTCTGCACAAATTGGAATGGAGCTCAGCTCTTTCACTTACTGTCAGTAGTTACTGAATAAAATCTGTTTCCACAGCTTTCACTAATGTCTAGCTGTGTTTATCTTTGACACCTCTATGTGGAAGAAACACTCATTCATGGGCTCACCTCTACCCCCATGCACACAGAGTTCTGGATGGGATCCAGGAGTTCTCCTTTGTCTCTCTTCTTCCGAGGCTGCATGTAGCACAGCCTGCTAGGGCGATGAATGAAGAAAACCTCCCACTGCATAGCTAAATTTCTTTTTCAAGCTATTTACATTTCAATAGTTAGATATATGTGTTTGGGCACATGAGCATGTACCTGTGACAAGACAGGTGGATTTCCACTTTAACATGACTTTGTTTGATCTGTTTGTTGTCCCAAACCTAGCCAGACAAACTGAAGGGAGAGGGAGAGATGAATTGGAAACATGGGGCAAACCTGGGGGAGATGCCCATAATCCTCTAGAGACTCTATGGGACTTGAATGAGGATGGGAAAAAAAATGGCTAAGAAGTGTAAAAGGTGGAAATGTAAAAGGATACAGAAGGTGGCTTAATTGCTTTTTCCCTTTTTCACATTTTTGCTTTTGGCTCAGTCCTGCTCTTCACCGTCCTTCCAAAAACGTAAAGTAAAATGTCTCTGTACTGTACTTTCTTTACCCTGCTCCTAGCCAAAACATATTTGTTTTAATTCATTGGGAAATGTTAATTTTCTATGTTTTTACTTCTCTTCCAATTATATTATTCTGGCCTTGCAAAAAATGTAAATCAAAGGATGAGAGCAAGAAATTAGTCACTATCTTTGGGCTTAGTTTAACCATGAGAGTTTTGTATTGAATTTATAATTCAACAAATATTTATTGAACGAGTGCTATGCGCAAAGGACTATCTATTTGATATAGAATCATTGTTACCCTTATGGAGCTTACATTCTAGGAAGGAGATATTCAATGAATAAATAAATTAAGTAATAACATAATTAAGGTAGAAAAATATAAAGAGCAGTATTTGATATGGTAAGGCTTCAATGGAAATGTGACTGTTTCTGTTCCAAGTGTTTTCCTTATATTTACTCATTTAATTTTATCTATTATTATTATTAATATTTTACAGAAGCACAACATAGTTAAGTAAGTTAAGTGTATCATATGCTATAGAATTTGCTATAGAATTTGAACTTGAACCTGGCAGTCTTGTTCCAAGTTCTTTACCTTTTACCACTAGTCTGTATTTATTATTAATTCTATTTATAAGAATTACTCTGAAGTGTGAGGAAAGACTTAAACTCTGGAGGCAAGAATTTAAGCAGGGATACGAGGGAGGGTAGAGAGGACAGTAACTGGACTATGGTGGGTACGGTAGAGGAGAGAAATAGTGGTCAGACTTGAGATGCATTGTGAATTCAGAGGAAATAGAAGATTTGCTGATGGATTGTATATGAGCAAGAGACGACTTGATCATTAATCCAACTTTTAGGCTTAAGGAACTGGGATAAAGATGGTGTTTGTTAAAAAGTTGGGAAAACTCGGGGGGAGGTGGTTTGGTGAGGGTTAGAAATAAAGATTTTGTTTTGAAAATGTAAACTTTGGCCAAAACCGG